TCCCCCCAGTATCTCCCAGTATCCCCAGTCCCCTGACGCTGTCCCCTGTCCCCGCAGTGTCCCCCGAGCGCGTCCCCGCCGTGGGGGGCACCTGCCCGAGCCCCCCCCAGCCCCGCCCCGAGCGCTGGGAGACAGGTGAGGCACTGGGGACACCTGGGGACACCTGGGGGGCACCTGGGGGGACATTGGGGACACCTGGGGGCACCTGGGGGGCACCTGGGGGCACCTGGGGGGACATTGGGGACACACCTGGGGGTACCTCGGGGCATTTGGGGACACCTGGGGACACCTGGGGGGGCTGGGGGACACCTGGGGGTACCTGGGGGTACCTGGGGACACCTGGGGGACACGTGGGGCACCTGGGGTCACCTTGAGGTCACTTTGGGGTCATTTTTGGGGGCTGGGGGTCACACTGGGGGCCATGGGTCACTCCATTGGTCACTCTGATGGTCACTCTGGTCACTCCGGTGTCCCCCATTGGTCACTCCAGTGTCCCCCATTGGTCACTCTGGTCACTCTGGTCACTCTGATGGTCACTCTGATGGTCACTCTGGTCACTCTGGTGTCCCCCATTGGTCACTCCGGTGTCCCCCATTGGTCACTCTGGTCACTCTGATGGTCACTCTGATGGTCACTCTGATGGTCACTCTGGTCACTCTGGTCACTCTGATGTCCCCCATTGGTCACTCTGGTCACTCTGGTCACTCTGATGGTCACTCTGGTCACTCTGGTGTCCCCCATTGGTCACTCTGGTCACTCTGGTCACTCTGGTCACTCTGATGGTCACTCTGGTCACTCTGATGGTCACTCTGGTCACTCCGGTGTCCCCCATTGGTCACTCTGGTGTCCCCCATTGGTCACTCTGATGGTCACTCTGATGGTCACTCTGGTCACTCCGGTGTCCCCCATTGGTCACTCTGGTCACTCTGGTCACTCCGGTGTCCCCCATTGGTCACTCCATTGGTCACTCTGGTCACTCTGATGGTCACTCTGGTCACTCTGATGTCCCCCATTGGTCACTCTGGTCACTCTGGTCACTCCGGTGTCCCCCATTGGTCACTCTGGTCACTCTGGTCACTCTGATGGTCACTCTGTTGGTCACTCTGGTCACTCAGGTGGTCACTCCATTGGTCACTCTGGTCACTCCGGTGTCCCCCATTGGTCACTCTGGTCACTCTGGTCACTCTGATGTCCCCCATTGGTCACTCTGGTCACTCCATTGGTCACTCTGGTCACTCTGGTCACTCAGGTGGTCACTCCATTGGTCACTCTGGTCACTCCGGTGTCCCCGCAGGCTCCAGCTCCGGCTCCAGCTCCGGGAAGCGGAAGCGCAGCGCCCGGAATTCCCGAAATTCCCAAAATTCCCGAAATTCCCGAAATTCCCGAAATTCCCGACGGACACGGCGACCCCGAGACCCCCCCCAGGACCCCCCCGAGCCCCCGGCCAAGGTCACCTGCGGTGAGCTGGGACAAACTGGGACAAACTGGGA